TATAAAGACAGTTTTTAGTTGATTTTGTAAAAGCATTAAAAAAATGTGCTCACTGATAATTTTCCTAAATGTTAAAAAGCCCATTAATTTTGACTGTATGAACTGTCTGTCTGAAAATTGGGCCGTTTTTAAGTCTTTTCATTTCTAACGCTGAAAAACTGAAATTTACTGACCACGAATCAAGCAGTTCACTTGTTAACCTCCTTGAAACATGTTGGTGACAGATTTCAAACATCAGTGAAAAATGCTTGTTCCAATACTACATACATTTATTTGTTCTGCCATTTAAATATAAACCTCACACAAATTGAAAATGATTACATTCCATCTTTAATTAAATTTATAAAGCTCACAGGTTTCTTGGAAAAAGGTTTCTATAAAACAGTTTGCACACATCAGTGCTTGTGTTGTTGAATGAGGCCATACATTTCTATTAGAATTTAAATGAATTATTATTAAACCTGCTCCAACCTGCCTTTGTTGCAGACTTGGCTGTTTTGTCGTCTTCTACATTCAGCAGAAGTCTCTGCTAAGTCAGTCCCGACCAAAGTTGTGTGTCAGAAGGTGTACCCAAGCATGCTGCACCAGTTCGCTTTACAAATGAACTTCACTTACCTGTCGTTGATGCTCCAGTTGAGACAGAGGTTGAGGGAGCTGAGTTTACGGCATTTTCTCACCACCTCCATCACAGTCTCGTTGTTCAGCTCAGAAATGTGCCGCAGATCGAGGACAGTCAGGTTCTGCAGCTAAAAGAGGCGATACATACAGAATTATTTATTTTTTAATTAACTAAAAAGTCACACAAATGTAAAATACATAAGTCCCTCGCTACTTCACAGTTCGACTTTCGCGGATTCGCTCTTTCATGGTTTTTCAAAGTAAGGTTGGACATGACGTACGGATGGCTGATTCATGGATGAGCCGCACGATCGGCATTGAACTTTTATTTAAAATACATTATTTAAAATTACTTAGCACCTGCTGCATCTGTGTGCAGCCCACAGGTGCAGGGAGAAGCTCCTGCCTGCAGCGTGTCATGATCTCCGTTCTGCAGCGGAGAAGTGGGCGTGGCCAAGAGCGCTGGCAGGTGGCAGAGAGAGATCATGACATGCTGTGCTCTTTTACAGCGTATAGAAACATTGTTTAGAAAATTGCAAGAGTGTGGGTAGGGTTTTAAAAGCCTTATATATATATATACTACTATACCTACTTTGCGGTTTTTCACTTATCGCGGAGAGCTAAGAACGGAAACCCCTGCAATAAACGTGGGAGTACTGTAAACCAAAAATAAAGCTGTCCTCCATGCATTCTTCATGTTCTCAAAGAAATGCATTAAAATGCAACAGATGAGAGAAAAAAAAAGTGTAAAAGTGTGCTGATTTACATGGGGGGGTGGAGGTTAATGTATCCCCGAAGAATGCATTAGTTGTATTTCTGTTTGTTTCACCACATGCTGCACTAAAAATATCAGCAGACATGGCACAAAACCAAACAGATCGAATAAATGCTCCAAAATTGTTTGCAGTTTATCGTTACTGTTCTGCATTCACCTCCCTGCTTTGAGGGGTTATGAACCAATAACAGCACTCACTGTTACTTCTTCCTTTCATCTCTTTGACTTCCAATAATCCTACTTTCCCCATCTGAATATCTCAGAAGAGATGGTTTAGATTAATCCTCAAGTCAAAACCTGACAGAAACCCACACCGTTCAGCAAACGTCCCCGTTCACTGAAGGCTTTTCAGAAGAGGTGAGCGCTCTGATACTTACTCATAACTATACAAGGAAAAGGCACAAACACACATAAACACGCTCACACATGGGAAGCAAGATAAGAGAGGTGTGATATTCAAGCCAGCCGCCAGGGAGGCATAAAGGTAAATGTCATGTCCGAGGCTAAAGAGAAAACAAGCTCAGAGTCGGTGTTAAGATCACCGAGCCCTGTTGTTGGCTCCATAGGCGTGACATATACCAAGCAGCGTGAAGACACATGGGGGGAAAGGACGAGGGCCGCAACTCACCGTGTGAAGTAAGCACACATGTAAACACTCTTTCCCAGCCCCCACTGAGGCCCAAAACACACAAGCAGCAAACAAACATGAGAAGTGTGTACGGTGCTGCAAGGCACCGAAGGTAATAATAAAAAAAGCTTTCCAAACTGTCTCTGTTCTCACGAAGCCTGTGGCTTGTTTGTTACTCCTCCGAGAAAGTTGACTTCAAGCGTCCTGTTAGAAAAGTCTCTTTAGGCATAAAATCAACCTTTTTTTTTTTTTTTTTGCAACATGATGCTTAACTGCACTTTGAAGATACACGACGTGATACAAATTAAAAACACACAAAATGTTTTGTGTGGGATGTTAAGAGAAGCGGGAGATTAGAAAACGTAATCAGTTAATTTTAGACGTTTTTAGTATTTTTTTTTTTTCGTACGAAATACAAAAGTAAAACGTTGAAAAAGGCACCCGAACTAAAAAGTATTAGAACTAAAGCGAAGGGCAACGCAAAGTTCGGACCTGCGTTAGAAGCTTGGATTGAGCCGCTGACGGTACTGTTCCTGTACAACCTGGCTGAAGAGGCGAAGGCGTTTGAGGAGAAATCTGCAACGATAAGAGGTCATGTGGTCTGCAAGAAAATGTTTTAAAAAGTCACGAGGAGGAAGACGACAAAGAGCACCATTCCAGTTGCACTACTCCTCTTTTTCTGGTGCCCTTTTGACATTTGCATTTGAATTAGTTTTTGTTCTCTTTCCTGCACGCCAACAGTCTGTACCCGTCTTTTTTTATACATAAAATCTTAAAAAATAAACAAATTAAAAAACGCTTTGTGTGTAAAAAGACGGTTTGAAAGAGAAGTGAGACGATAAACCATACGCACATGAAAAGAAGAAATCTTTTTAAATGTATCAACGCAGAGATTCACAGAAACAAGTGTATGCACAAAAACACACAAATACAGATAATCTGTCATGTGCCCCCTGTGGTCGGATCGAAGGGCTAAATTATTCATTCAGAAGGAGGCTGACCAAAGAGTGCGTGTGGATGTGTGTGTACACTATTACTCATTTTGTTGAAGCATAATAAGTTCACACACTCATTAAAGCAGCTCACGTCCAAAAAGCACGTTCCACCTATATTTAGATTACGGTTTGGACTATTTTAGGTTGCCATGGGTTTTAAAAAAAAACTTTTTTTTACAACAACCTCCCCCAAAAGCTGCACACACACTTAGTCCCTGTCACACACACATTTATTTGTCCATTTACTATGTAGGATTAATGTGCTTGGAGTGAAATTTCAAAACCTCCACATCAAACGTAGTATTTGTTCTACAAAATCTTCAAAACTGCTTATCTCTGCTATTAAAAGGAAAATAAATACTACAGCCAATGAGGAGTGTTTCATTGATGTGGGCAACCAATGAGAAATCAGGCCAAGCAACAGAGACTTTGGATTGGCTGAGTGTGTAGCTAGGTTGGAGGAAAAATCCCCTAAAATTTAGCAGATGTCTACATGGAAAGGGGGAGAGGCACAGTCACGTCTCTAACTTTGTGCATCCATCTGTGAAAAACCACTGCAGGAAAATAAATTCTCCAATTCAACAGACGTAAAACGCGTCACGAATAGCCATAATTAGTCACACTTCCAAAATTTGACATGCAAAAGTGGATGTTTTAGTTGTAATACATGCAATTTGATTCAGTATATATATTTTTTTTATTAATGAGTTTTTTTTAGCAAGCCAACAATAAGAAATAACGTAACAGAAAAATGAAGAAATGACCAAGATGGGGGGGGGGGGGGGGGGGGGGTGATGGAGTAAAAAAATAAATAAAGCAAAGTGGAAAAAACAGAAACCGGGAGAAGAAAGCCTGTCAGGGGGGGAAAGTAAGTGAACTGAGAAGATTTCATGGATTATTTATTTTATTTTTTTGTCTTGTTGGCTGAAGTCTGTAACCAGGCAGAGTTTGTCTCATCTCCACCGAGTTGGCAGCTAGAGCAGGGTCATTATTCACGCCGTTCATAAAACCAGTGAAACCTGCAAAATCCAGCTGCTCACAGACAAGTGTGTCATATCCATCCACACGCACACATACATGGACACATAAAACACACACACGGACACAGAGCACACAAAATACACAAAAAATAATGTGAACTTTCATTTTCTAAATATTGTATTCACTGGCAGAAAGTTTCAGTTTCTCAGATGTATTAAAATATTAAATTATATTCAATATAAAATAAAAAGACAATTTTAAGAACTTTTAATAGGACTTTTTGTTAATGTTCACAAATGTTACTTTATGCTCCCACATTTATTTTTATTTTTATATGACTATATTTTGCTTTAAACGTATTACTGTATTAAAAAGAACAACAAACGAAGAGGCACTAAAAGTTTATCCCAAAACTGTCATGACATTAATAATTTTGAAATAAATACAGATTGTGAGACTCTGACATTATTTTACAAAATTTATAAATTTATGTTCAATACTTGTTCAGTATTTCTTTGGGGGTTTTGAATTTTTAACTTTTTTTTTTTTTTTTACATGAATAAGAGGTATTTCATAGTTTAATTTCAGCTTTTATTTTTGTGTTCTTATAAAAAATTTACAAATTTTTTTTTTTACAATGTATCTTGATATGAAAAAGAGATATATATATATATATATATATATATATATATATATATATATATATATATATATATATATATGAAAATAATAGAATAATACAAGTGGAATTAAACTTAATTTAAAAAAAACTATTACAGTTACATTTATTTCCACTATTTTAATGTTCAGTTCTGCCTTGAAATAAAAAGGACAAAAAAACACCACCGTACAAAACAGCTTTTTATAATCCTGGAAGTGAATCTTAATATACAAACCAACTCCTTTATCCTTTCATCTCATCTATTTAATGTGAGGGACAAACACATTAAAGATAAGAAAAAGCAAACACTTCACATCTGACACGGGTTGAACAAAAACGGTTTTCATCAGAGATAAACGTGCAGCGGCACAAATGTTCATGAAAGCGTTTTTTTATTCAGTCCACACATCGAGACGAGCCCTCTGAGCTGTTCAGATGTCCGATGCTTTAATTAAAAGTGTCTCTCAAACAGGACAAACAAAAGCCCGAGTCAGAGGTCAAATCAAGACCGCTACTCAAAATGAGGAAAAAAACACAGTTTGTAATAAAGATGTGATCCTTCAGTCAGTCTCCAGATTTACGTGGAAAGGTTTATTTATCACATGAGTGTTTAAGTACACAGAGACTGTTCCTGTGTGAGCCTTGCCATAACTACCTCAGATATTTCTATATACATTTACTCAAAGCCAAGCAGGAAGCTGGCGCCTTCTAGACCTCGTGCAGAGGATGTGATGTCATGGTTTTGAGCAGTGGTGCAAAACAGCATTTCATAGCTGTAGCTGTCCATCAACATCAACGTCTCCACCTCACAAGGAGCTATGCAGGAACATAAAAATCACGAACAGAGCAAGCACTGTTTTAATCCTAAACAACCTTCGTGTTGGATTTGGAAAATGTGAGGTGCGGTTTTATGGCAGAGGTAAATATGATGCCCACTTCAAGGTCAACATTAAGCATTTGAGTTTGGTCTGTGAACAAAAAACGCTTCTACTATGGGATAGATCGAAGCAGCACATGCTTCCAATTTCAATTCCTAAAAAGAAGATTTTAAGTAAAACTATCCTGCCTTAAGGTAGAGATCA